TTTTTAGATTTTTTTTAACATTTATCATTTTTTACATTTTTTTAGACAATATTTGCTTCCCCCAGCCCCTCAGATTGAGTCCCCATAGAATCTCCTTCCCTAAGGCACCCGTGCACCATCACCACAGTCCCCTGTGCTCCTCTCTCCCTCCCTCTGACCCCTCTCCCTCCTCCTCCCCTGCAGGATGTCTCTGATTTATAATTGTCTGTTTTTGCTTTATTGTGTTTTTTTTTTTTAAGATTTATTTATTCATTTATTTATACAAGCACTGGGTACAGTCAGAAGCGCGGGAGGGTGAGAGAATTCACCAGAGCCAGAGCGGGGAGCAGAGCAGGCAGAAGGACTGAAGTACACTGCTGAGGGGAGCAGCGGGCGGCAGGAGAGGTCTGCGCGCCATGCGGGACCCTCCTTGAGTGGCTGGGGAGCAGCCGGGGATCAAACCGGCGCTGCAGAGGCTGCAAGCAGCTTCGCAACCCAGCGCTCAACCGCTGCGCCACCGGGGAGGCCCGCGTTTTTTTTTTTTTTTTTTAAGATTTATTTATTTATACAAGAACTGGGGTACAGACCAGATGTGCAGGAAAGTGAGAGGATTTACCAGAGACAGAGCAGGAACAGAACAGGCAGACTGACAAAATACACTGCTGAGGGGAGCAGTGGGTGCAACAGAAGAGATCTGCTGTACCATGTGAGACCCTCGTAGGCAGGCCGGGATCGAACCAGCGCTGCAGAGGCTGCTGACAGCGTCACAATGCTGTGCTCAACTGCCTGCATGAGCAGGGGAGGCCCGCTTTGTTGTGTTTTGTACTGTTATTAATTTTTTTACACTGATATCTTATTTGGTTCCCCTATATTCCTGTTATAAGTGAAACCATCCGATATTTTTCTTTTTCCTTCTGGCTTATTTCACTGAGCATAATTCCTTCTAGTTCCATTCATGTTGCTGCAAATGGGACCAGTCTGCGCTCCCACCAGCAATGTAGGAGAGTTCCTTTTTACCGCATCCTCACCAACATTTGTTGTTGCTTGTTTTTTTGATATGTGCCATTCTTACTGGTGTATGGTGGTATCTCAGTGTGGTTTTGATTTGTATTTCCCTGATTATCAGGAATGGTGAACATTTTTTCATATGAACAGGCAAAACTTTTTAAAGGAAAAAAAAACTTTCTCCATTTTCCAAACCAGCTAAGATACAGCTCTCTGCCCATGCTCCAACAAACACATTTCCATCTGAATCTCCTCCTCTGCCTGTCTTTTGCTTTTAAGTATGTTCATGATGACTCTGTACACACTTGAATAACCCAGAAAATCCTCCCACCTCAAAATTCTCAGCAGAACCCCCTTTCTTTGCAAGGTAGCCTAGTCACAGGATCTGGGGACTAGGAAATGCACATCCTTGTGGCCACAGTTCTGTCCACCTCAAAAACAAACTCATCTTCTTCAGCAACAGCATTAAAAAAAATTTAGTGGTGATCACTGCTCTATATTTAAATACATTTAGGAGATATAATAATGAAATGTGGTTCTTCTAAATACTAGCTCAAACTTTAAAAGAAAATTTTGTTGGCACCATGCTCATGTAAGAAAATGTCCATATATATGCATATATATGTGTGTGTGTGTGTGTGTGTGTGTGTATATATATATATATATATATAGGTGTGTATACACACACACATTCTAACAATGATGCAGGTATTAAAATGGAGGGGATAATGTGATGACCAGACTTAGCTTCAAAATACCTCTGGGGTATTAAGAACTAAAAAAAAAAAAAAAAAAAAAAAGTGAGTGGGATGGACAGAAGAACCAAGTGTGGCAAAAATACTTACAACAGTGATAGAAACATAAACAGGACACTGTACTCTCAGTGTTGACTGTATGTGAAAATTTTCACATAACTACATATTGTGCCAATTTGCTGAAGATAATTATATTTTTGTATGTATAATGTAATCCCATTCTTGCTTTTTACCAATGTGTGTGAGAGAGGGAACACAGGGAAAAACAGGCAATATATTAACTATGGCTGTATTTTAGAGGTGTAATTATAATGTCCCCCCTTTATCCATATTGAATTACCTGTATTTTACAACTAGTCTACAAAGAGAAGGTACTGTTGGAATGATTAGACTTAATGATGAAAATGAGAAACTACCAACAGCATAAGTTTATAACATCAAAGCTGAGAAAAAGCAAATTTCTGTGCCACTCATGTACCAAATTTATATTTTCACATGATCCTTACAGCAAACCCATGAGTCTCTACCTTTAACACCAGAAGCGAAAGCCTTAGTGTTAAACCATGAGAAATAATAACCTGAGATTTAAATCCTCATCTGTCTGATTTGGAATCCAATTGCTTTTTTGAAATGCTGTGCACTTCTTTTGCTACACTTAGCACAGACCGGCATAAGTCTAGATTTAACAGAAAGAGTTCAAGTCACTTGTTCCAGCTATTTGTTGATCTGGAAAACGGGGGTCACTTCACTTTGAACCCAGCTTGCACTATGGTTCTCAATAAACTTTAACAAAATTGCCATCCAGTTGAGAACTAAGTCATTTAAATGAGGTTGTAAACCTTGCTCCTACTATTCTAGACCAATTGCCCTCCCGGGGTTGCTCACAATTCCCTGCTGCCACACTGCAGCACATTCCCACAGTGAAGAGCTCTGAGAAAGACTCATTGCAAAAGCCCCCTCCTCTTCATTCCAAAGGTCCTGCAGCGTTGTCTCCATCACATCTCATTTGTTATAGTCACACTCAATTGACAAAGTGGTACACATTTTATATATAAACAAGAGATAGGTAAACACTGCATGAGCGGAATATTAATTACAGAGAGAAAGCAGATTATGTTTCCTTATTTCAACATAGTTGACCATTACAAAAGCAGAACTGTTCTCAGATTTCTGGGATACGGCCCTTCAAAATATCACTAATGTTACTGAATTTGAAGGGAGTCTATCAAAATCAAGGCCAGGACTAGAAAGTGGAAGGCAGTATAAAGCTACTATTTAAGTCCTTTAATTTAAGGATTTACAGGAGAATTTCTATGATCAATCCTTGTTCCTTTAGAGCATAATAAATTCATGTCAGTTTAAACCCAATTCTTGTTTATTATTGAGATATACCTGATGAGACTGATGGAGACTAAGGAGAACTTCTGTAGCATGTAGGTCAGAAGTGGGAGGCAGTCTTGAAAGAAATTTTGTGTTTGTGAATTGCTTTTTGTGTTTGAGAATTGCTTATTGGTGTAGGAAACCCCCACATACTTTTACATTGGAATTGGGTCCAGAAAACTCAATTGGTCAATATTTATTTTATAAAGGACATTGAAGAAATGATTATACTAACTTCTGCTTTTACAAAACAAAATATTATCATGTATGAAGTATTGCTTCTGTCTTATATGAAAGAAGCTGTCCCAAATATGCATGTTACCAATATGGAAATATAAGCAACATTAAACTGAACTATGCACAGCTAACTCAATCTCATAAATGCAGAGCTCCAAACTGATGCATTAAATTATCTGCACAATTTGTTTTAACATGTGCAAACATTGCATTCTTAAACTGTGTACACTGGTAATATGGGAAACAAACATGACACAATCAGTTAGCAATTTTAAAGTTGCTGGTCTCTACCTGAAGAATGTTTGCCATCTATGACATCCATAAATTAGAGCCTGATCCTCTACTAAAGGAAAACTTCACTTAGGAAAGGAAGTATATTAGAGGAGCTGCAGGTTTTAAAGGCTAATAACAACATCTTGGCCACTTTGTTTGCAATATTCCAAAGAGAGCAACATAGAAGTTATTGATATTCTGTAAGTATCAAAGCAGGCCACTATTGCAAGCTAATAAAATTAACAAGACTCTTGAATTCCCAATAGCCCAGCCAATAGGTTACACTGTTAAAGTTTCCTTAGATTAAATGATGTCTCCTCTTTACTCACTAATATGCTTGATTTGTTTTTTCCACTATAAGTGAAATCATGTTATATAATTCTTTGGAATTCTTGGGAATCTGGTGCTCTATACAGCCAAACTGATAATAATCTCCTGATGAAATATGCCAAGTGAAAGTGTTGCTGGAAAGCAAAACACTGCCATAGGTGAGAATCCCCTGCACTGGGCTATAGAGGTGGATTAGACCCAGACAGATGGAAGTTTCTCTTTTCACTGTTTACTCCTGAAATTCTTCAGCTCTGGTGAATTTTATTATGGTACTCTTTTTACCCATTCCACTTCTGATTTTTTGTCTCATCATTTTACAAAAAGCACCTATAATATCACCTTCATGCGTTATGCCCCTCCAGACCTCTGCTGGAGTACAAAGGTTTCACAAATATCACAGAATTTGGATCGGAGTTTATCACATCTAGTCAAAGTGCTCACAGTCAAAATTACTCTTAAAACACCTTGGAAGGGGGCCTCCCCTGGTGGCGCAGAGGTTGAGTGCTGGGCTGCCTGCAGCCTCTGCAGTGTTTGTCCCGGGCCTTCCCCAGCCGCAGGTGAGGGTCCCACAAAAAAAAAAAAAAAAAAAAAAAACAAAAACACCTTAGGAGGGCAGCACAGCACTTTAGAGAATAATAGCCCATCTTCCAGTAAATCCTCCCCCATCTGGACAAACATAGTGAAGGGACTCCTGGGGCTGCCCTATCCTATCCAAAGCAGGAATCATTAGTCACATGTGACTCCTAGGAAATGTAATGAGGTCAATATGCTAAAAGTGAGAGCACCGTGGATATATATTATTAGGTCAAATACGTTACTAAAAACAGTTTTACCACTTCTAATTTGCAGCTCAGCAAATGCAAGGAGTATACACACCATGCAAATACAAGGAGTATACACACCAACACTCTGTCCTAACAACAAGTAAAAATCTGAAAAATCAATTCTTCTCATTTTAATAAGAGAAGTGAAGTCAGAGAACAAAATAAGGCCTCACAAACTGGTGAGACAAACAGGTGAATATAGTTAGTCACAACTTACCGAAGCAGAAACCTTGGCAGGAACTAGGGGCAGGCAGGAATATCTAAGCGTAATTGATGAAATGTTGGAGCCTCAGTGTGCTCAAGTCTGTGAGCTAAAAACTTCAGGGGGACCCAGTCATGGGGGACCCCCACACTCTAGTGAGTTTTACCTTCAGGAGTTGGACCAAGTTCTCACGATGAATAGCTAAGAAAAATCTTCTCATGCTGCCAGCAAAGAGAGGGGGAAAAGAATGATTTTTAAATGAATATTCTTTGGAAGAATATTTGGCAGAAACAATTGTACCAGAACCTAGTCTACTAGGGTGTTATTGGAGCCTGATCTATCTTGAGGGGAGGTAAATACCAAACTCTAGCCAGCTCTAGCCTTCCAGAAGGGTAAAGGGAAAGGGATCTCACTCCCAGTTTCTTCTACCTGTCTTGATCCATTTTCAAGGGGTGGGGAACTATTGAATATTGAAGATCATAGCCCAGGGTTCATCAAAAGCCCAAGACCCAATCACAGGAATACAGAATGCCACCCCTCCACTATCTTCCACATGATTACTCATGTTCTAATTACATTTCACCCACTACATTACCTTTCAAAATAAAGAAGTACAAGGCATAATAATAGGTAAAAACTACAGCTTGAAGAGATTCAATAAACATCAGAACCAAAGTCAGCTATGACAGCAATGCTGGAATTATGGAACCAGGAACTTCTTTAAAACTATGATTAATAAGCAAAGTATTTTAAAGGGAAAAACATGTGCAAGAATAAATGAAAATAGAAACAGATAAATGACAATCTTAAGAATGAGTCTAAATACAAATGATACAGATAAAAATATTCTAGAGACATGAAGAATAACTGTGATGGACTCATTAGGAGACAAGACATGACTAAGGAATGAATCTCTGAGCTTCAAGATATAATAACAGAAACTTAAAAACTGAAAAGGAGAAAAAAGAAAAGGAGAAGAAAATAAATAGAACCAATGTTTGCTGCAATGCCACTGTGTTCTGGAAGTCCTATTTCAAAAGTGGTAACCTGGTTGAATGTCACATAACAATTCAGATTCACATAACAACGTCATTTGTAAATAGGCTACTTTTGAAGCCAGAACAGTTCTAGGTATAAATGTTTATCTGACATGTATTAGTGGACTGACCAATACTCTTACTAAAATAATATTCAGTCACATAACATTTAAGAGTATAGGTTAGTTGAACTGACCTGTTATTGCTAACAGTGAAATATCTCATAGCAAACACACCTCCCATCCAAACTAGAAAACAGCTACCAAGACACTGGCAGAACAAAAGCTCACAGAAGTGAGCCTGGTGCAGAACTGAGCACTTTTCCCACAAGTCTTGCAACCATTCCTAAGCCACCTATGGCAGGAGGTCTTTGCAACTGAGCAGAAGCCCCAGTTAGGAGGACTAGAACATGAAAGAAACTTTCAGCAAGATTATGGAGTTTGAAAACCAAAGTCAGCGTGGAAGGCTACGAATCAACCGAGACCTTGAGGGCAACTGTCCCAGAGAGAAAGAGCATGAAGGTGAACACAACATATTGTGTATCTGGGCAACTGATAAGCAATTTTAGGGCCAGAAGTCTAAGGAGCTAAGCAGAATGCTGGCCAAGAAAAGAACGTTTGGAAGTTTGATGGAGCATGGTTAACAGAAACAAGAAATGAGAGTTGACCAAGGGGGAGTAGCTTGGCAAACACCCCAGATTTCCACATAGAAGTCTGGAAAGGCTGAAGCTGAAGAACAACAAAGGCTTGTGCATGGATCTACCCGACCAAAACATGGGACCCTTAATAGACACAAATTCAACTACCAAGCTGAGTTAAAGTAATTTGCCCCCAAGCAGCAAATCAGAGATGAACTGGAATCCTTTTTTGGTAAGATACAACATTTTCCGGTGTTTCTACTAAACTCTACAAAGTTTCATAAACAATGTCTGTTAGTCAACCAAAGATTACCAGGCTCGGTCAAGTTAAAGAAAGGTTAAAAAAAAAAAAAAGACTGAAAACCAAGAAGAAAAGCTCCAAAGGTGATCTGGATATTAGAATTCTTACAAATGGATGTTAAAATAAACACACTGAAGTATTTTTTAAAAGACTGAAATTTAAGCTTAAGAATAGAAACTTGGGCCTCCCAGGTGGCTCAAGGGGTTAAGACGTAACCTATGAAGCTATCCCCAGCCAGGGAGCTACCCACATGGTGCAGCAGACCTCTCCCGTCTTGCCCGCTGCTCCCTGCAGCAGTGTATCTCAGTCACACTGCCTCTTCTGTTCCCCACTCTGTCTCTGGTGAATCCTCTCACCCCCACACTTCTGGCCTGTACCCAAGTTCTTATATGCATAAATAAATAAATCTTTTTTATTTTTTAAAGATTTGTTTATTTATTTATACAAACACTGGGTACAGTCATGAAGCACAGGAGGGTGAGAAAATTCACCTGAGCCAGAGGGGAGAGCGGAGCAGGCAGATTGATGAAGTACACTGCTGAGGGGAGCAGCGGGCGGCAGGAGAGGTCTGCGCGCCATGTGGGACACTCGCCTGGAGGCCGGGGATCGAACTGGAGCTGCAGAGGCTGTGGGCAGCTTCGAAACCCAGTGATCAACCGCTGCACCACCATAGAGGCCCAATAAATAAATCTTTTAAAAAAAGAATAAAAACTGTCTTAAAACACAAGTCTTGCAACCATCCCTAAACCACCTGTGGCAGGGGGCTGAGAAACTGAACAGAAGCCCCAGTTAGAAGGATTAGAACATGAAAGAAACTTTCAGCAAGATTATGAAATTACACGAAAGTTAAAAAGCTCAAAATAGTATAACCAAAATGAACATATGGAAATATCTGCTTAACAGTAGTTCACACACAGTAGAAGAGAGGAGGTAACAGGGAAGACAGGCAAGTAGAAACTATTCAGATCGATGCAAGGACAACAATATATATATATATATATATATATATATATATATATATATATATAAAACACAGCTAAAAGACGTGGGATAATAAAAATCTCTCATTGAAGACCACCTGGAGAAGATGGGTGGGGGAAAGAAATATGTAATATACTATTAAATTTTTTTCTAAAGTGGTGGAGTATGTAAATCAAAGATGTACAAGACTCTGGAAGCAAAGCAGAATGAATATAAAGAACCCTTACATCCTACTATCAAAGGAGCAACAATAAGACTGACAGTTCTTTTTTCAGCAGAAACAACAGGAGCCAGAAACAATTAATGCCAGTTTTAAAGTTCTCAAAGTAAATACCTGTCAACCTAGAAATCTGTTTTTAGCAAAATTAGATGTTGAAATAAGGATGCTGTCTGGTTACTAAAAATAATATTTGTCAATAGCAGATTAATACTAAAGAAATACTTAAAGATTCCTTAAAGTATTTAAGTATTTAAATACTTAAGAGATACTTAAAGATTCCTTAAAGAAGGAAAATAATTCCAGGAAAAAAATAGACTTGCAGGAAGTAATGCACAAAGATAGAAAGCACCTCCTTGTCTAAGATGATGATGATGATGATAACGATACTGATGTAGGGAGTTTAGAATTCAGAATTATAATAACTCATGGCAATAACTGCACAAAAGTTTAGTGTTAAAAGGAGATGAATATTACTGAGGAAGTTGTAAAAGTATTATATTATCTTAAATTCCATTAAATCAAGACTTTATATTATAATCTTCTTTAATGATTATTAACAAGAAGTAAAGGAATATTTTACCAAAAAAGTTAATAAAGGAAAAATGGAATGATTAGACACTCAAACACTGTATTTAATCCAAAAGTAAGAAAGGAACAAAAAAAGAACACAGAGGAATAAAAAATATAGGGGGAAATTCTAAGACAGGTGTAAACAGAAGTATATCAGCACTTTAATAACAAAAGCCTAAAATTTCCAATTATTTATCAGTTATTCTAAAACCAAACATAAGGAAATCATATGAACTACTGATGATACTCAGTCATAAACCCCTATAAGTACCCATGACAAAAAATATTTAACAAGCCTTATTACAGTATTATTTGCAATATCCAAAATCTATAAGCAATCCGATCCTCCATCAACAATGAAGTAGACAATTTGTAATACTAAGTACTTAGTGAGTTATTATGTAGCAGATAAAATGAACAAATCACTGCTAGAAGAACCCATGAACCTCAAAAACAAAATGTGAAGAAAGTCAGATGTAGCAGCACATATAATGCATGATTTTATATAGTTCAAAAAAAGCCACAACTGACATAATGGGGTTTAAAATTAAGATAATAGCAAATCTAGAAAAGAGAAAGAGGTGTTACCTGGGACAGGCACCAGGGAGCCGCTGGTGTGCTGGTAATGTTCTCTTTTATTGACCTGGATAGTGGCCATGAGGGATCCCACTGGGAAAATCAATTGATATGTATACATATGAATTGTGTACTTTTCTGAATGCTATACTTGAATAGATTAAGTCATTTCTTAAAGTAAACAGGTAATTAAAGGCTCTCACTGTATTTTTTTTGCACATGAGATTTCACAAGTTAAATAAAAATAATTTAAAACTTGTAGCCAATAACTTCCTTATTCTTAATATTATTTTCTTGTTTGTCATCAAAACAATGAAAAACAAGTTGTTTGGTCTTCAAATCTAATCTCAGCCCAGCAAAATGGATGTGTAAATAACTTTTCTTTTTACTTACTCTTTTAGCAAATATTCATTATCTCTCGTGTGTGAAACTTCAGGAACACAAAAAATGTATATAAAAACACCCATTTATGTGACAACCATTTATGAGAGAAAAAATATTTTTCCAGGGTAGTTTTGTTCTAGTCTATTTTAATATCTTAATTTTTTAAAGATTTATTTATTTATGAATATAAGAACTAGCTACAGGCCAGAGGTGTAGGGGGTGAGAAGAATCACCAGAGACAGAGTGGGGAGCAGAACAGGCAGATTGATTGAAACACACTCCTGAGGGGAGCAATGGGCGAGAGAGGAGAGCTTCCTGTGGGTTGCTCCCTGGCCGGGGATCGAACTCGTGCTGCGATGGCTGTGGACATCTTCATAGGTTGCGTCTTAACCTCTTGTGCCACCAGGGAGGCCCTATTTTAATGTCTTATTGCACATCATCTCCAAAGACAGGGAGTCATATCAAGCTAGGAAATTATTTTCAAAATGGTCAACAAATTTTGTTAGTTGTTCTTGAGTTATAAAATCACTTTCAGAAATGATAATGTGCAATTCAAATCTTATTTTCTAAATTTCAAATAACTTGTACTGAAACAAATCTCTCCTATCTTCTAGCTAATAATATTTGAGAAGAAGTATGACAACCAAAAACAAAAACAAAAAAACAAAAACAAAAAAAAACACATGGTGCAGAGCCGCCCTCTGGGCATTCTCCCCTCCAGGGTTTTCTTCAGTAAATACTCAGATTTTGACTCAGATTTCTGGGGCTGGTGCACACTCAAGTTCAAGAATAACACTTGGATGACTATTTGATGGCAGCCTGCAGGGTCTCCCGAGATGGGATGGAAGAAATGAGTCTGCAATTCCAGTGCATCATCTTTCACAGCTGATGTTCAATCTATTGCATCTGAGGGAAACATTAAGGCACTTGTTCCACAGTTGATAAAGAACAAAGGGACATGTCCCACCACTTAACAACATCCTCTTCAAAGCTCAAGGACAGCTTTTAACCCTTGCAGACTATTAAAGTGGGGCTACCTCTCCTATCAAATCTTCTATATTATTTAACACACCTCTTCATAAAAATGAAAATTTTTATTTGAATATTTATTTGAAATATTTATTTGAAATATTTATTTATTTGAAAATATTTATTTGAAATCAACTCAAATTCTTGCCAAATGATTGCTGAAGGGAACTGAAATTGGCAAATAGGTATTTAGGAAAACTGGAGGATTTGTTTAGAAGATACTCTGTTAATATGCAGAAAAAAACATGCTCTCACCACCTAGACTTTCTGCAAGTTTTTACATTTCATGTCAAAAGTTACTATCTTAGTTTTGATAGATTATTCATCAACAATGACTGGGGACTATTCTGTGTTATCTTCTGGTTGCTGCATTATCAAACAACTCACAAACTAGGAGATTAGAACAGCACAAGCTGTATCTATAGTACAGTATCAGTATAATCAAAACAGAACCAAACTGCAGATGATAAAAAAAAAATCCTAAGTGGATAAAGAGGAAGCCAAAGATGAAGAAATAAATTAAAAAAGCACTTGCATTTAAGAGTTAGTGACAGAAAAATAAAAAGATTAGGATTTGAGAGAGTAACATAAAAGCCTCTTGGGAGTGGAAGGTACATGTTTGAAAAATAAGTCATAGCCTATCAATATGTAAGAGCATTAAGGTGCAAGAATAGCAAACCTTGAATGGCAGAATAAGCATATGGACACACTTGTTTGGACAAGTTTGGCAGTAAAGTTTGAAATAGACAAAAAAGGGATGAAAAGACTCCAAATGTTACATTCGTTGGGTTGACACAGACATGTGTCCTAGAACACTTCTAATAAGACTAAAGAAGATAGACCTGTTGAAACAAAGAAAAGCTGTAAAGCAGGTGAAAGATGGACTGTCCAAATTTATGAAGGATGCATAATATTGTCCCTTATTTATGCTGCTATAATACAAATAGAACTTGTAATATCCTAAAAGTAGTGTTTAATTCTAATGACTAATTCAGACAACTTCACTGACAAGAGAGTGAGTTGTTCACAGAATTCTGTGTCTTTATGAATGGGTATTTTAAAACACATTGATCAGCAGGAAATCTCAAAGGGATTAAGGAAAGCAGAGAGAATATAGAAGTCTTATTTCTAGTCTTCCATTGAGGAAAGCTGTTTTTAAGTCCCATGTTGCAATTTTTAGGATGTTGTGATGAACAAAACAATAAATAACAAATAATATTTATGCAAGTCTCATCATGTGACCCTCAACCTTGATAGATGCTCAAAAATCCCATTTTGCTTATTCCTTACAAATCCCTTCCAGGAAAAATCTATGCTTATTTTCATATTACAAGATATAAAATGAAAGTTAAGAAAAATCAGGAAACTGACATGGTTCATAAAGTTACTAACTGGCAAAACCTGAAGAGACACACTAAGTATTCCTAGTGATGAAACTCTGCCCTTCACTCTGTGAATGGTCCTACAACAATCTTTTATCACTTTTTTGTAGCATTCTCTGCTTGGTGGAATTGAAGTGACAGGAGTTAGTTACCTGGGCTTTACATTTTGGTCTACACTAAATGGTTCTCTGACCTTGAACAAGTCCATAAAACTTGTTGGCTAGCAATGTCTCCACATATAAAGTGAGGAGATCGGGGCACTCAGATTTCTCTAAGGGTAGGTGTGAAATTATATGGCTAAATGATATCTACCATTTAACCAAGTTTGCAGAATTGCAATGGTTATAATTCGCACTCATTCTGATTTTGGTATTCAGAGCAATAACAATTTCTTGTTTCTCTTCATAGTCAGAGAGTTAAGAGTGCTTGTTGTTTGCAACCTCAACTTTTAATTACTTAGCTTTGAAGCTGTTGATAAATACTTGTTTCTGAAGCTCATTATTTTTGCCCTGCTCATTCTGTCTGCTGTATTTTATTCTAGATTTCATTATGTAGAAGCCCTTTGCATCTTCACTCTCAACATGAATATTCCATCGCTGAGCTATCATTTAAGCTCATGATAAATCCATTTAATGCACAAACACATTTCAAAAGGACGTATTTAGCATGGATTTCACCGGTACTTTACAATCCAGGTTCAGTCCCTTCCAGAAAATCGTAACTATGATAGTATGTGGTGAAGTTAGACTAAGAGTTTTAATTATGGTTTTTAATTTTAAAATCACAGGTATGCATATTCCAACACATGAAAGATAGCTTTGTCCCACTGCATGTGGTAATAATCTGAGTCACAGCTTGCACTTGCTTACATTTGGCAGTAACTCTTTTCTTAAAATGCTAAGCTTAAATTTTATGGATATATTCCAAAAGCTAGTATTAAATCCATTTATACGAAGTAACTAATGTGCAAATAAATTACTAAGATGAAAGCAAATCCCAAGGAATTCAGTTAATACAAATAAGAATTTATTTTTTTTAAAGATTTATTTTATTTATACAAGAACTGGGTACAGGCCAGAGGTGTGGGAGGGTGAGAGGATTCACCAGAGACAGAGCAGGGAACAGAACAGGCAGATGGACTGAAATACACTGCTGAGAGGAGCAGCGGGCGAGACAGGAGAGGTCGGCCGCGGCGCTAGGTTTTTCCCTAGATGGCCTTGTGGGGAGGCCCGTCATATGATTTTTTAAACAGAAAAAAATAACGATGAAAACCACACACACAGAAAAACCTGGCTCGGTTTTCCCAAAATATCAGGACTAATCAATATGATTATTTCCAAAGATGAAGATCCAGCATATGTCAGTATACTAACCAAAGCACTGGTGTTTCTTCTTCTCTTATGTGTAAACTGATAGAATTTTTTTTTAAATAATAAATTTTATTTTTATATTCCCCCATACAATTGCAAACGCCCCATTCTGACCCCAATCCCTCCCCTCCCGCCCCCCCCCCAAAAAGTATCTCTGGTTCATAGTTTTTTGTTGATTTTGATTTTCACTTTCTTATATTCATTTTCCTGGTCCCTTATTTAGGTTTTCTAGATTCCTGCTATGAGTGAGACCATCCGGTATTTTTCTTTTTCTTTTTGGCTTATTTCGCTGAGCATGATCCCTTCCAACGCCATCCATGTTGCTGCAAATTGCATGTGTTTATCTTTTTTGAATGCTGAGTAATATTCCATGGTGTATATGTACCACATCTTCTTGATCCAGTCATCTATTCTTGGGCATTTGGGCTGTTTCCAAAGCTTAGCTATTGTAAATAGTGCTGCTATAAACACAGAGCTTCCATATGATCCAGCAATTCCACTCCTAGGTATTTACCCAAAGGACACAGAAACATCAATTCCAAAAAACTGATAGAATTTTTAAAGACTCTTGTCTTTGAAACATGGGAAGCAAAGTAGCATCAAGTTAACTATTTCAGTCTACTAATCCAACAATATGTTTCTGAAAGAGATGAGCAAAACATCATCATCAACTTAGAGAGCTGGAACAGTATCTTTTTGTATAAGCTTATGATGACAAGGGAGATATAAATTTGCAGTTTCCTAAGTGTCCATCCCATTTTGCATCTTGGCAAGAGCATTCTACTGTATTTAATGTAATCTGAGTATATACAGGTACATCTCGTACAACACATCCCCAAAGAGCAAACAGCTTATAACATATTTCCCACCAAAACACATAAGCAACTCAATCTATTCCCATGGTAGCAAAACTAGAATTAGTGTTTTT